TGAAACCTTATATAAAATCAATTAATCAAACTTTTTAATTTAAACTAATAAAATCAGTTTTTCCCTATTAAATTATAAATCATCGGAAATCAGTTTTTTGCATTAATTTAGAAAAATACAGTTTATTACATGTTGTATTTGGTATTATTTATAAAAAACAGTTTTCTAAAATCAGTTTATGAAGTTTTTGTGTGGTATAATGGTTTAAACTTATTAGTTTCCTATTTATTTATCAAACTTTGAAATATAGAACATATTAAACTTGAGTTTAATATGAGGGGTAGAATGAGTTTTTTGTATGATTTTTATGTTATTGAATTTAATTGTGTTACGTATTTATCATTCTTTGAAATATAGAACATATTAAACTTGAGTTTAATATGAGGGGTAGAATGAGTTTTTTGTATGATTTTTATGTTATTGAATTTAATTGTGTTAGGTATTAATTTATAAAAAACAGTGACATGATTTTTAAAATCTATAAAATCAATTTTTTCAAAAAAAATTAAAAAGCAGTTTCATTTTTTGTTTATTCATGAAACCCATAAAATCAATTTTTCATGAAACATATGAAATCATTTTCGTATTATATAAACAAAAACAGTTTGTTTGGTTTTTTTATTTCTATTTTAATATATAAAATACATTTTTTTACTTCATTTCTGTTTTATGTTATTTATGAAACAACGTTTTATTTAAAATAAAATATTATAATATCCGAAATTATAAAATAATATATTATAAAATCAGTTAAATGATCCAAAAATTTTTAAAGTGTTTTATAATATTAAAAAATAATATAATATCCGAAATATTATAAAATAAATAATTAACAGTTTCATTATTTTGTTGGGTTAGACATGTTAACTTTTTTGAAAGTGTAACATGAGGGGGCGAAAATTAATGGAGTTGAAATTATTATTCTTAATAAATATCCGAAATTAACAAAAACTCAAAAATAACCTTGACTAAATATTTAATAATTAACTCTTCTAAAGCAGGCATTTTTAAATTAACAATATCTAAAGCATATTTAAAGCATATAAACAAATGATATACACATATTATGAAACGTTAAAATCACGAGCATGCATATGAATATGCGGAAACATATAAACATTAAAACAATATAAAGAAAAACATGCATTAAATAATTAAATTTACGAGCATGCATATGAATATGAAGAAGAACATATAAACATGCATGAATATTAAGAAAAACATGTATTAAATAATTAAAAACATGCAATAAAATTTGAGCATGCATATGAATATTCGGAAACATATAAACATTAAAACAATATTAAGAAAAACATGCATTAAATAATTAAATTTACGAGCATGCATATGAATATTATGAAAAACATATAAACATGCATGTATATTAAGAAAAACATGCATTAAATAATTAAAAACATGCCATAAAATTTCGAGCATGCATATGAATATAATATTCGGAAACATGTAAACATTAAACATATACACATATTCAATGCATGATAACTTATTAACATATACATATTAAATTAAACAATTAAAGAATATTAAGAAAAACATGCATTTTATTTTTGGCATTTTAAAACATTTATTCTTAAATATTCGGAAATTAAAGAGTTAGAAACATACCTCGGAGAAGAAGGCAAGAAATGAATGGGAAAGAAGAGAAGGCCGGCTTCGAAGAACGACGGCAGGAGTGGAGATAATCCGCGGTGGCCGGTGAGATGTGTGCGGCGGCGGTCGGCGGGTGTAAGAGAGGCAGAAGGGTGGCGGAGTGGGAGGCGTTTGGGAGGGTGGCGGAGTGGGAGGCGTTTGGGAGTAGAGAGGAGGCGTTTGGGAGCAGAGGGTAGGGTTTGCTGAAGTTGGGAAGCGTAAGGGAAAAAAATGGCTAAGTGTCGTTTATATATTAGGGGTTGTCAAGGACCCGTCCGTGACAAAGCCCGTGAGTAATTAATCACGAATTTTTAAATTTGAATTCGTCACGGATTAATCCGTGACAAATGCATCGGAACTTGTAACCTGCGGAGCGGCAGTCGAGGCGGCAGGGAACGGCAGACGAGGCGGCAGAACGGCAGGTTGACCGGTTTGTCACGGATCCATCCGTGACAAATCCGTGACAAATTTCAAATTTTTGAAATTTGTCACGGATTTGTCACGGATGGATCCGTGACAAACCGGTGCAGGGAATATTAAAGCTTTTTCAGCCTTATTCAGACGAGGCGTCAGCTACTTTAATTGTCACGGACCTATCCGTGACAAATTTAAGTATAAATATGTGCTTAGAGTCCCATTTTTTCAGTGCGAAAAAATGGCTAATCCAGAACCAGATGTGTGGAAGTTGATCAGTAGAAGTGTACAACGATTAAAACAAGTTACACAGTTGATGAAGCCTCGAAATGCAGAAGCAGTTCAAAGCATCCGTGAGCTGATGAGTAGACCACTTGAAAGCTTTGGCGATATTATAGACTATGAATCAGACTCATACAACGTTTCACGAGGGAAAAACTTGCGTAGGGCACTTTTACGTGCAGAACAATGTTCGGAGTATATGATACCTATAAACGCGGAAGCTGCAGAAAGAATTAACGAGCTACTTGATAGGCCTCTAGATGAAAGTTTTGACGCTAATGAATAATATTGTGTTTATTTGTTTATCTGTATTGTGAATTGTTGAATGTAATAAATGATAAAAAATTGTGTGTTTTCTACTTAGTTTTTAAATTTAATAAATAAATTCATGTTCTTGTTTATTAATTTTCGAATTATTAAAATTTTGTAATGTTAAAAACTAATAACAAATAATGTTAAAAAACTAATTTCCGAATTTTAAATAATGTTAAATTTCGAATTATTTAAAATTTAAATAATTTTCAATTTTCGAAATTACCTAATTAATTTTAAATTTCCGAATTGATAATAATCAACCACTAATTTTCGATTGAATAATTTTAAAAACTTAATTTTATTAATTAATTAATCGCTATTTTACAATATAATATGGAATAATTATTTTGTTTAGAAATGATAGTTGTGAATTACATACCTAACTACTATATCTTGGAATAATATAATAATGACGAAAGAAAGTTAAAAATTCAAATTAAAATAGTTCAATTAAAAGTAATTACATTGGTTGTTAACTATACATTTAATCGCTATCAGAATCAGTATTTTCTTGATAGGCAACTTCTTCTTCTTGATAGGCAACTTCTTCTTCTATATATATAAGAATGGAGATCAGCCGTCCAATCTTGCACTGAATCTCACGTGCAACTTTGCATTCTAGAGGTTATTCATGTAATTTTATTTTTGAAACCTACGCACGTACGAAGCCCTTTCTTTATTTACGCACATTCATTCTTTCCATAACCGTTTCTCAAATTCCATTTCCTTATTGATCATCGTTTGATTTTTGCTTCTTTTCTCTTTCCTTTCTGTATCGGTTTCGTGACTCAGTCTTCTCCATCGTCCCTGTCTGTCAATCCAATTCCGGCGCACTTCGTCATACACATTTCTGCCATGGAAACCGGTTAGCATCGCTCCTCTGTTCTTTGTTATGTTGTCATTATTTTGGTTTTTTTATGTGCTCTTCGATTCTTTCAATATTTTTGATGTATTTGGTGAATATTTTGTAAACAATTCTCTACCCCTCTTTTTTTATATTTGTACATCGTTAATGCATGTGAAATTCTTGAAAGTTAAAAGTTGCCTAGTTCGACTCCATTTTGCCGGAGGAATCAAAGTATTATTGTGATGCTGCCAAATGTTTTCCCATGATGCACTTTGTCTTTGATGTGTTTTTTAATTTATATAATTATTTTTACATAAGAATGGAGTTCAACAGTTTATTCAATGCACTCCATTTTGCATCATGGTTTTGAAATTTTTTTTACATAATGCACTTCTAGTTTATTTGTATACAGTTCATAATGAAATGTTTGATGCACTCCATTAATTATTTAGATGTTCATTCATGTGCTACATAATGCACTGTATTTGTGAATTATCTTTATATGATTAAATGTTTTTACTTTTAATTCAGATTCAAATTAATGCATATGCTTAGTTAATATATTCAGTGTTATAATGCTGCCAAATGCTTTCCCATGATGCACATTTGACTTTGATGTGTCTTTGCATTTGTATAAAATTCTTAATTTTTTTAATAACAATGTAGTTCAAAAGTTGATTCAATGCACTCCATTTTGCATCATGCTGCTGAAAATGTTTACGTAATGCACTTCTACTTTATTTGAAAAAATGTTTTTACTTTTATTCAGATTCCAATTAATTGTTTTTTACTGCAATGTCATTTTATTTTGATGAATGATTATGTGCACAAATGTTTTCTTTTTCATTCAGATTCAAATGATGTTGGTTTCAGTGCTTCTTCTGCAATTTCCCAGCCCGTTGATGTTCAAACAATGCACCTTTCACCTGGATCCACTACGTATTGGACACCCGAGTGTGATCCCGCTGTCAAACCGTGTGTTGGTGTGTTTTTCAACAACCTGCGTGAAGCTAAGGTATTTTATGATGATTATGCATCAGTGTGTGGTTTTGAAACACGTATTTTTAGTTCATCAAAGGCTCCTGATGGTGTTATTGTTTGGAGATATTTGGTATGTAATAGGGAGGGATTCAAAAATGTATCTAAATCCCGCAAGGATGCATCTAACAACGATCGTTGCAAAACCACACATAACAACTCTGGTTGCATTAATGAAGATGCAGATAATGAGTTAAATCATGAAAATGAGTCATCAGAATCTGAAGGAGGTGAAATTGATGGGCAACCTTCTTGTCAAGATTTACAAACTCTTGCCCTCTGTGTTGATGATGATAAAAAGAGACATCGAGTTTCCAATAGGATTGGATGTAAAGCACGTTTAGTGCTTAGGCTTGTTGACACCAACACATATGTGGTTACATTGTGTGAAGAGAAGCATAACCATTGTATGGCTTCTAGTTCTTCCATGCCTTTTTTAAAAGTGAATAGGAAACTAGATATTGGTCATCAAAAGTTTTTCCTCAATTTTGTTAAAGCAAATATCGGTACAACAAAATGTTATCGATCGTATAAAGAAACTGTCGGGGGCTATTCCAATATAGGAGCCACGTCCATTGATTTTAAGAATTTTAAACGTGACTTGAAGGCGTACGTAGTTGGCGTGGATGCTCAAATGCTGATAGATAAACTTTTCAGAAAGAAAGAGGTTTGCTCAGCCTTTGCTTTTGACTATGATGTCGATGAGAGTGATCAATTGACACGCATATTTTGGGCTGATCCAGTTTGCATAAGGAACTATGCTTTATTTGGGGATGTTGTTTCTTTTGATGCTACTTATGAGAAATCGGTAATTTTTCTTTTCATTCTGTATTTGTTAGTAAAACTAATCTTACTTTCTTTTATGTAAAATTGCTTATCCCTCACACTGATATTCTTATACTCATGTATGAGTTACTTGTCTGACATAAACTTGTATATTTGTCGCACCTTTCCTGAGTTTTTGATGCACTTTTATCTTAATTAAATTTCTGATTCATCACACGTATATTCCTATATCTATGTATGTGTCACTTTTGTTACATTACCTTCTCGCATATGTTGCACCTGTTTTGAGTAATGGATGCACTTTTAATTATTTCTTTCACAATACAGGTATAACATGGTTTTTGCTCCTTTTACCGGTGTTGATAATCATAAAAAATGCATTACATTTGGTGTGGGTTTGTTGTTGAAAGAAGATGTTGAATCATATGCTTGGTTGTTTCGGTGTTTTCTTAATGCAATGGGTCGTAAACCAAAGTGCATCATAACAGACCAAGACCCGGCAATGAAGATTGCTATTCCACAGGTTTTCACTACGACGTGTCAGGGATTTTGCATGTGGCATATAATGTCGAAACTTAGTGCAAAAGTTGGACCTGTCTTGAGTAAGGATATGAATTTCTTGAATAAATTGAATTCTGTTGTATGGAGTCATTATCTTCAGCCTGCTGAATTTGAAAAGGAATGGAATATGGTCATGAAAGAATTTGACTTACTTGATCACAACTGGTTCACAAACATGTTTGAAATTCGCAAGCTTTGGATCCCTTCTTATTTTGGTGACGTTTTGATGGCTGGTTTGCTTAGGACTACATCACGTTCAGAAAGCGAGAATAATTTTTTCAATGAATTCACGAATCCTAATTTCAGTCTGATTGAATTTTATATGCAGTTTGAAAGTGCTATGGATTCACAAAGACACAATAGTGCACAGTTGACCAAAGTTTCTGAGTCATGCATTCCTGAATCCAAAACTCCATTACATATTGAGAGATATGCTTCGTCTGTTTATAATCATTCCATTTTCTATGTCGTTCAGAAGGAAATATGTTCCGCTTGTTTTTCTTGTGGTGTACATAGTGTTCGACATGAAGATGGTGCGTCTCAGTATGTAATATCTGATGAGCGAGGTTTTAGTTTCACAGTTGAGCAAAATAGTATTGATTGTACTACAAGTTGCACGTGCAAACATTTTGAAAGGATTGGCATAATGTGTCGTCACATATTTTTCGTGTTTAAAGATCTGAAGGTTAATGTTATTCCAGATAAATATGTGTTACACAGATGGTGCAAAGATTCTATCCTAAAGCCTCTTAATGCGTCTGAAGATGTTGTTTTTCAACAGTGTGTTGGCACTGAAGAAAAGAAAGGAGCTATTAAGCAATTGTGGTCTGATATTCATTTTTGTGTCGGAATGATTGAGCATGACCCTGATTTATTCCAGCAGTTTGCCGATGTCATTAAGGCGCAGAAAGACTTATTGTCTGCCTCTGATCAAAACAGTGCACCATCAACTTCAAAAGTGGATGTTATTAAATCATTTTATGGATCATCTATTCCTACTGAAGTCAGTGTGCATCCGCCTCAACAAGCTCGAAATAAAGGTTGTGGCAAGAGGATTAAAGGCGACAAGGAAAAGGCAATTGAAATCAACAAGAAGAGAAAGAGACTCTGCAGAACATGTAATCAGAAGGTGTATCACGACAGTAGGAATTGTCCTTTGAACTCCGAGAAATGATTACAATTTTAATGGATCTGTATGTAGACATATATTGTTGATTATTACTTACGATTAATTAGAGTTGTATGACAATTTTTATTGCTATTAATTTCATTATTTAATTTACATATTTACTTATGAATTTTGTCCACATTTTATAGTTACTTGTACTCCAAATTCTTTATATTTGAATATGAATTTTTTTAGTTTATTAATATATGTCTAGTCTCCTGATGTAGTCCATTTGTGGCATTGTGATTAATGTGAACTTTGTGACTGTTTAATGTTAATTTTGCACTGCTAATTATCCCTGATGTACATTTACTCTCTCCCTCATGCACTCCACAATTAATTCTTTTTATGTTTGCACTGCTAGTCATCCCGTGATGCAATGTTTTACTATCTCCCTAATGCACTCCATTTCTCACCATAATTCATGTTTCGGCTTTTAATGTACTTGGTTTTATGTAAATGATGCACGCCATATCATTTAAATATCTACTTGCACGTTGATCTACATTCAACCCAAATCCTGTGTTGATGGACTTCAAATTTTCTTGATTAATGGATTTGTATACTTTTATTTATGCACTGCTAAGAATCCCATGTCGCACTTTTAGCTTTTCCATAATGCACTTAACGTCCAAATTTTCTTGATTAATGAATCTTGTTTGCACTGCTAATCATCCCGTGATGCAACGTTTTACTATCTCCCTAATGCACTCCACTTCTCACCATAATTCATGTTTTGGCTTTCCATAATGTACTTGGTTTCATGTAAATGATGCACGCCATATCATTTAAATATCTACTTGCACGTTGATCTAAATTCAATACAAATCCCGTGTTGATGGACTTCAAATTTTCTTGATGAATGGATTTGTAACTTTCACTTATGCACTGCTTAGAATCCCATGTTGCACTTTTAGCTTTTCCATGATGCACTTAACGTTATGACTTAAATGCTTTTCAAAAAATGAGGCATTATCAGTAGTTGTTTGACTTATCAGTAGTTGTTGCACTTCTCATTTTGTACTACAATACTCATTTCATCCACAACCTTATGTCAAAACCGCATTTCATATGCAATGCAAAATAAATTCAACCAAACTTTTGCATTAATAAATGTAGCAACAGAATATGATAGACTTCAAAATTTCTAGATGTTCAAAGATGTATCAAAACCCCAATCAATCATAGCGGAAATCAAAATATAAGTGTTAAAGATATTTTTAAACTGATCACATGTTTTCTTCCCCCATAGCTCATGGCACTTTTATATTAAATTCCCTGTTTATTTCTCACTTCTTTAGCAAAATCATTGGCCTTGCTGAAATTTAATTCTTTTAGCTCATTCACTTGTGCCCCTGCTATTTCTGTCCAGTACTTCATTCTTAAAGATGCCATAGTCTTTGTATCTCCCTTCTTTAGTCCAATATCCCAACTCTTCACACTTTGACCCATGTACGTTTCCATGTGTCTCATCGTCCATATTCCGTAAGCACACGGGTTCTTCACATCTCTCCACTTCATTGCCAACCTCGTCACCTTGGCCTTTTGGAACGCCTTCTTGCCTTCAATTATTCCATATTGTGATAGAAATTTAGTAAACATGTCCCTCTGTTTAACAAAACATTCAACAATAAATGACATTAATTCCTTATCCTTTACTTCTATAAGAAATGAAACTGAATGTATAAGTTAAGTATTATTACCATTGACAGAGGCATCTCATCATACATCTCCTCCATAGTGAGATTACATGAAGAGTAGTCCAAGATTTCTATTTTTTCACTCTTCATATTGAAGCACAAGATGTAGCAGTGTGAAGGCTGGATAATTGGGAAGAAAAACTACAATACAAACATGAATTTAAGTATAATATAAATGCACATATACATCACTTTTTATGCACCATTAGTAATATATATTGTTCTTACCAGTTCTACATCCTTCAGATTTATTTCGGGTTTCATTGCTTGGAGTCCTATAACCATGCCTTGCTTCAACAACGGATATGATGTGTCATCCGTCATGCCATGGGCTTCAAGCGTGTATAGCTGCCACAGTTTTAGTTAACATAGAATTCATTATTATAAACCTAAAATATGAACTGACAGAGTAACTGAAAAAATTTGTTTTCCTACACATGGATATGCTGGTGCAAAAAAAAAGACATGGTGATCCTTCGCTTCGAAACTTTTACTTTGTGTTTAGTATTGCAGACCAAGCATCAATGACACTCAAAGATTTGTGTTTATCTTCTTCCAATGTCATCATATCGTCTCTGGTCACCTTCAGATCGTTGTATTTTAAAATTATCTCCCCACTGTCAATAAACCAATGCGTTTATACGAAAACAATATATACCACACATCTACGATTCTTAATGCACTTAACATAGTAATATGACAGACACATTTTATCACCTGTCCACACCATGTTTGTTTGAAACCCAGTTACCCAATAGCTTTTCAAGTGCGCTACAGGTTTGTCTTGGATCAACTATCCTGCACATGTAGGGCGATTTAAAAAACTTTCCCGTTTTACCTTTTCTTTGCAATTCCACCTCATTCGATTTTCCTGCTGCAACTTGAACTTGCCTACATGGCGTAGCTTCTATAACCTGTTACACATCCTAGTGTTACTAAGCAATTTATTCACTTCATACTAATAACTTTGCAATTATACATATTACCTTGTTATTTTGCACACTAGGCTGACCAACATCAACATGTGAATTATTTTCTCCTTGTGTCAGTCCAATAGAAAATGATGGACTGTCTTCCAATCCTTTCTTGGTCTTCGGCTCTTTCACATTTGCATTTACAACCTCATCTATTTCTGAAATTGTCCTTGGATCGTTCCAGAAAACTTCGTCCTCCCTGTCATCATTAAATCCTTCTTCGTTGCCCTCTCCACTTCCATGATTTTTAGGAATCTCTATCACAATTAGGTTATGTGCACATTCACGCATCTTATTGAAGTCTTCATTAAGCAATAAAGATTTTGGAGCTGTGTCCATGATGCCCATTAAATCCAGTAAACAATTAGCAAACTTCTCCATGAATATCTGTTTTTACATAAGTTTTGAAATATTAGTCATCAGAAAAGTGTAATTTGTCAATGTGCAGTAGTAATTCACAATTTTGTCCGTATAATACTCATGCACTCACATTCAATTCTTAGTGCAGAATGCCACAAAACTTTAAATCTTCAAAAATTATACAAAAAAGGTTCAATTTCCTACTGTTTGATGCACACACTACATTGGGTTTATTCTGTGTTATTCAAATTTTTTCTTAGTTCTTACAAACATATTATTCATACCTCATGTTTTTTTTGCAATTCATAGTGCACTAATGAACATATACAACCCTCATGCACTAATATTCAATTCAGATTGCACTACTGTGAAACACCATTTGCACTTATGATATTCTAAGTAAATATGACTCTATCATTTACTTACTTGCTCCCCACCGTGTGCTCCAGAAACTTGGTGATCTTCTTTCTTTGATAGATTTTGATCTTCCTCTCCCAAGATCAATGGCTCATCAATAAATCCCATGCCAAAACTACCACAACTGATTTCAAGATTCTCTCTCTCTTTCAACAGTCTGGCACTCCATCCCTTCATGATAGGCCAGCACCTCTCCACGCTTCTTTTGTATAGAACAATCATATCAACATAAAAAAGATGTACTCAACAGTTAGTATATACACAAATTCCATACTCATTTAATCAAATCTTAAAAATTTATTTTAATCTTACCATGAGGAATAACAATGGTCCTGTGAAAGTTTTGTCCTTGTTTTGATTCCAGGAAACCGTGCTATCAATCAAACATGACAATACATGCTCGCACCAATTTAAGTCCTTGATTTGTTTTAAATTGTCAATGCTACTGATGATGTTGGGGTTTGCATATCCGTTTGGTCTGCCGTCCACGATCAAAGACATAAATAGAATAACAAAGTGCTTAATAAACCAATCTCCACCTTCGTCGTATAGAAGCATCACATCACAAACATCAGACGGGCTTATCTTTTTCTCACCCTTCCCAAACTTTCCTTTCCACTCTCTCACCAGATCACACGTTTCATTCATTTTTTTTGTCATAATTTTTTTCCTCCCAGCCGGAAACCTAAGTACCCTTGCAACATCTTGTTCTGTAATGTGCACCTCCTTCCCATCTTCCACAATCAAACAACACTTTCTTGGGTTAAAATTCTCAACCACCCAATAGCCTAACTTTGCAGGAAGTTCTTTTATATTCATCTCGAGCAGTTTTCCAAACCCTATGCTCTTCACCGCTTCCTTCTGTGCGTTATTCATATCCTTGATGGCTCTAACTAGAAGTTGCGGTGAAGACCTTGTTCGCAACTTTCTGAACTCTATGTTTTCTTTTACAGTATCATCTTCAAGTCCTTGTATTATGTTCTCAGAACTATCATTGTTTCTAATTATTTTTCTTTTTGGCAGATCTTCGAAGTCATCATCACTATCTTCGGCATCAACATTACTTCCCTCTAATACTCTCTTTCTTCCTTGCCGTGAGGATTCTGCTTCTTGTCCCTTCATCTTATCTCCACCTCCATTCTTGTTCATCTCTAGAGCAAATCTTGCACTTCTCCTCCTCATTGTAGTGCACCTTCCTATATCTGGAACTGCTGTTAATACTCACCAAACAAACCTCGCGTTTGTTAACAAATACACAATAATCATGCACTAACTGTAATCATGGAGTAACTTTCAATTCATTGTGCACATGACATTTGAAAACAAGAATTCATCATGCACTAATAGCAAATTTAGATTGCACACATATATAAACTCAAATAATACTAAACTTGTATAATAATGCACTAACATTCAATTTATTTTGCTAATCGTCTCTAAAATACAAGAATTCAACATA